ATTGACGCACAATGGAAATGACTTGGACACAGCATCTCACAATCACAATATACAATCACAATCCGGAAACACAACTAAAGAAAGAGAAGGAGGAGTGGGACAGAAGAGGAAAGGGTCAGACAGAGGAGTAAAGGTGCTGGAGGGTAAAACTTCCAGTAAAAGTCCAGTCCGGGTGCTCTCATTGTTGACAGAAATCAGCGGGTGGAATGTTGGAGCGTTATCTGCCCAAGAATGTTTGCTCCGTTTGGGGTCCTGTTACCCGCGAGAAGGGGGAAGGGGAGGGTCTGGAGGTCTGGAGGTCCTGCAGCCGCACCGTCTCTCTCACCCCAGCGTGCGCACTCTCCAACGGGTTAATTAGTTTTCCTGTACAGAGGGACGTGTGTGGTGTGATTTTGTTTGTTGCATCTCATAGACTCAGTATTAAAGGGCCAATATTACGCTATTTTCTGATGTACAGGATGTTATAATGTTATTTCCTCATCACAAACAGACCTGGATGTTGTGTTTTGTTTCATTCACATGTGCACAAACGCTGAAGATTTAGGCTGGGTTCTTCTCTCAAACGGAAAAAACTCCACCTTGTATTGTCCTGCAGTAATACAGGAAGTGCTCTGTTGTGTTTTTAAACTGCATACACCTTCACCAGAATCATTTCAGACCTAGAATTGCCAAATAAAAAGTAAAAGGTAGATGTTAACGTGAAAACTACCGCTTCATGACATCACAAGGTGGACCAGAGCATTTTGAGCTTTGGAGATTGGGACTAATAACAAAGTGTTACTCAAACGTGTGAATGTAACAAAACACAACTCCAGGTCTGTTTTTGAAGAGGTAACAGCTTTATAACATGGATAAAAGTTCAACTTTATGTGTAACTTTTTGGTTCAGAGTCCGTCACCTACTTGTTTCTATGGATATATCTTTGCTCTACCTGGAATGTTCCTCAGTATGACATTAACCAGCTCTAGGATCTAAATCAGGATTACCTGTGTCAGGGCACACTAATTTATAGTTTTGCCTTATGATTAAAATGTCTTAAATATAATACTGAAAATAAAATTACACTGGATTTGAAGTAAGCTTGGAATTACTGCTTGTGATTATTATTTATGTATCATTGTTGTTGCCAAAAAATGAACTTCCTTTGGGATAAATAAAGTATCTACTGGACCCAGTCAAGTAGAAGTATACAGTAAGGCCAAAAATTCAAGTTAATGCATCACATCTGATATAAAAATGTATTCAACAGATAGCATATGTACTCTAGTTTATGAAACTGTTGACCTTTTTTCTGTACCATTTTTGGTTCTAAAATTCCATACGTTTTAAACAGACCATGTATGAAACATGGAACAAAAATTATTTCCCAAATTTCAAAGACCTGCAAATCATGTAAATAAATGGATGTATTTCATCATATCTTGTGTTATTCGATCTTTGAACTGTTGATGAAGGTACATGATTTTTTTTTTTTATGTATTTAAAATGATAAAAATTTGCTTGGAAGGACTGACATATTTTATAGAAATAGTTTCCTTTCATTTTGAAGTAATATTAAAGTATTCGGAAGAAAAAAAGCGACAAATTATGTAAAATCATGCAACTTCTACTTGTTTGCACAATTTTCCCTCCATTACTTTTCCCTCCGTTAATATTGACTTTTCTTAATAAAAAATCTCATGACTCAAAAAGTAAGAGGTTTTTCAACCTAATCTTGGGTAGAAAACTATATGAAGCAAATATTCAAACCAGTTTGTTAAGGATATGTAAGTGAGAATCGCTAGTTATCACTGTTTGTATTTATTGCCCAAAAAGTGCTGCATATTTCATTCCCTCCATTACCGACATGAGTTTAAAAAATTTTTATATCGCAGGGTTAACTTTACCCTGTTGGAGTGTTAACTCTTTCCTACATTCTAATACCTTACTTATTTCAATAGTCCCTCTAGTTTCTGAATAAGAGCTATTTGAATGTAAAAAATCTGCCCCTGTTTCCCTCCGTTACTGCCTGACTGGACCCTACTGCTATTTATCTATCTATCTATCTGTTTTGCCTTATATAAACTCAGATTTCTCAAATATTATCAGCACTTTGTCTGGCTGTAAACCTTTTAAAGTGCTTCATAAATAAAGTTGGTATGGTGTGTGAAATATAAAACTAAAAATGCAATTACACTGATCTGTTTTAAAATAATAACATATATAAAACCTTATATATAACCCCGAGGTGCACAGTCTTCTGGTTGTTTCTATGGATATGCCATTTCTCTGCCTGGAATGTTCCACAGTACGACATTAAACAGCTCTACTTGACATTTATTCAGTTACAGGTGGGTTTATAGCTCAGAAATATCTAGAAAAACAGGCATTCTGACTGATTCTGACTGAGCGAGGTCATCTCTCCACAGATCTGACCTATAACTGTCTGGTTTGGCCTGTGTGAAGATAGAAAGGTTTAATGCCACACTGTGAAACATTCCAGACAAAGCACTAACAAAAGCATTTGACAAAACCTCCACCTGAAAAGTTACACAATGCACCTTTAAAGCTCACAAGAGTCCATTTTGTGTAATATAGAACCTTTAAAGTTGCATTCATTCACTTATATCTTTTGATTTAATTTTATTTTGCCTGACTATGCAACATGTCACTTTTCTGTTGTTTCTGGACCTTGCCTTCATACATAATACAGATGCCGTTGGTTTGTCTGGAATGCTCCACAGTGTATTAATCTCGTCTGTCTCCACGGCGACAAGCGGTTAACACCACCAGGCCGAGCTGCAGGTCTGACGCAACCCTGCTCTCTTCTTTAGTAATGCAATCATTCTGTAATCATCATTTTCCAGGTATTGTTTTGAATAAATGCCAGATTAAGATTAAAGGCGTACCGCGGAACATAACCTATTGGCTAAGTCTGTCTTTTTTACTCTTGTATAATCATGTGTTTTATGTAATTGTACTGTTCTGTAGTAGAAGTTGGTTTAGTAGTAGTAATTGCTGCACTGCACTGCTCTCACCTTAAGTCTTTATCTTACCCAAATACTATTACACTAACGACTGATAACAAGGCAAAGGAGGAAGGAACAGGATCTGAATCAGGAAGTGCAGTGTTTGTAATACCTGTGTCAATACAGACTAATTTACCGTTTTACCTTATGATTAAAATGTCTTAAATGTAATACTGAAAATAAAATGACACTGGATTTGAAGTAAGATTTGAATTACTGCTGGAACATTCATTGTGATTATTATGTGTCATTGTTGATGAAAAATGAATTTCCTTTGGGATCAAGTAAGGATACTAGTAACTACTACCTATCTATATATCTATCTATCTATCTATCTATCTATCTATCTATCTATCTATCCTTCTATCGTTTTATCTATCATCTATCTTTTTTCTATCTATCTGTCTATGTTTCTGTCTATCTGTCTATCTATCGATGTATCTATCTGTCAACTATCTTTCTGTCTATTTATCTAATTATCTATCATCTATCTATCTTTCTGTCTGTCTGTCTGTCTATTATCTATCTTTCTATCTATCTTTCTATCATCTATCTTTCTGTCTGTCTGTCTATTATCTATCTTCTATCTATCTTTCTATCATCTATCTTTCTGTCTGTCTGTCTGTCTATCTATTTATCATTGCCTTATATAGATTAAAATGTGTCAATTACAGTTTTTCTCCATTGGTTTGGCTTATTTCTTGGAACAGAAATGACATTCTCAAAACAAACCACTTTGTTGTCGTTCACAACAGAATGACATTTCTCACTGATTTCATCAAATTGTAAATGTCTTAGTGCATGTCTCAAGTGTCTCATTGCATCTTTGCACATGGGTCTGCACAAGTCGTCTACAGTTTGCACAATGAACTCACATTTAGCACATTTTCCAAATAAATAAATCTTGCTGATCTAAACGGATTAGTTGATTCTCAGTCTAATGGTTGTTCTCTCCAAAACATGTCAGCATGATTTCATTGTCGAAGTCATCATCTGCACAATAGTTTGTTCAACTGTCAAAATTAGTCAGGAACATGACACCATGAACATCATATATGATTTTTTTTTTAAACATTTGATAAATTCATGACAGTAATAATCAGTCAGGTGAAATTAGAACTTCCATCACACTATGTGACCCTGTGAGACAGTGTGAATTTCCACCGTGGCCCACTCATCAGGGCCTGGTCCACTTCCCATCTAAAGCTGCTCATGAAAGTACTACCACCATACTCTCCTTTCCTCAATCCAACTGAGTTTTTTTCCGCTTGGAGGTGGAGAGTGTATGAACATGGGGCTTCAGACCAGAGGTCAATGCTCCATGGAATGGATGCTGCGTGCGAGGACATCACAGGGGAGGGGATGGTTGAGACATTTGCGCCTTGAGTTTCTTCCTCTTCACAGTCATCAGAGGGAGGGTGATGACTGCGACCAGTGACAAGTCTTACTGTAGAAACTTTATTTGCTTTATTTACAGCACTGTAGGCTAGATATAATTTTTCTTTTTTTGTTTGTGTTTATATTTGGCACATGTACAGAATACTGTATACATTTTCTTTTTATGTACTCTAATGTATGGAAGTGACTTTATGTGTGTGAATAAAAGAGTTTCACATGTTCCACAGTATGACATAAAACAGCTCTACTTTACATTTATTCAGTTACAGGTGGTTTTATAGCTCAAAAATGTAAAGAAAAACAGACATTCTGACTGTGAGCTGGATCGCCTCTCCACAGATCTGACCTGTAACTTGGTCTGGTTTGGTCTCCGTGACGATAGAATTGCTTAATACCAGAACAGTTACACAATGCACCTTATTACGTGGAAGACGAAGGTGAAAAGGGGAAGCCAGAGTTTACACAGGATCACAACATAGGAGTGAAACAGTCCCCTCCCTTTCTGGTTTACTATCACATCCTAGACTCCTCCTTCTCTCCCCCTTGTCTCCTCCTCCCTTGTCTCCTCCTTCGTCAGTCTGACAAGGACTTGAGAGTTAAACAAACCAGCACCGGTAAAGCACACACAAACGCAGATAGGAAGAGAGGAGGAACAACTGAACGGGACCTGAAATCACTAAAGGAGATCAGGTAGGAAAAAAAAAAACTATGGCAACTTCTATAAATGACTTTCTATTTACTCAAAGATTTTATGTTTAATTGAGTCACTTTTTGTCCTGGAAAGCTGGTTGGACTGTTTTTGGTTTCTGTCTTTGATAGTAGACTGCACGTGTGGCTTGCAATTGTAGTAGTAGTAGTAGTAAGTTTTAGTATGTGGCAGTTTTATTTTCTATTTTATTCTATTTACAATGTTTGATTTTACTTGTCTTGACATAATACAGACTTTTTATCAAACACTTAAACGTAAATTTGTCTTAAAGAGCTTATGATATACTATTTTATTATTTATTTTAAACAGTGGTGGAATTTAACAAAGTACAAGTAGTAAAAGAAAGTAGAATTTTTAGGTATCTGTATAAGTAAAGTGCATTTTACAGTGGATACTTTTGACTTTTACTTCACTACATTTGAAAGCTGATATCTGTACTTTCTCCTTCACTACATTTCTGAAAAGGATTTAAAAGTAAAAGTATTTTTCGTATGATTTTAAGTGTTATTTTTATCATGTTCGTGGTAACATCCTGACTTACAGTATGTTTTTGGGATCAAGTGCTGGCTTTGAGCAAATAAAAATAAATACGACATTAAATAAGAACTTGATTTGTATTGATAAATCTGTAAAAAAAAAATAATAATAATATCACTATGTTTATAACAAATTAACAACACTTGAAATACATGAAATATTTTTACTTACTCTTAAAGTACATAAAAAACTGGTACTTATTTTTTCAAGTGATTTTTTTTTTTAACTTGAGTAACTTGACTGAAATGACTGAATCTTGATCTCAATGAATTTTTGTTATTATTTGCTCAGCCTTTTGTTAATTTCCTTTCATTTCTAGTTTAGAGTGAAAGATGATTATGGTTCAAAGTTCTATTTGAACAGTAGTATTTAAGTTCACATCAGTTCAGTATCTATGTTATGATTTGCATGCATCTGTGGACCGAAATAGCCGGTGGGAGAATGGACTGAGCTCCTGTTTCTGACTAAAATGTGTATTGACATATTGAGGTTATAAGAAGGAACCAACAGTCTTAAAGTCATTCTTGTTTGGTTATAATGACCAGTGTTGAAAGAAGTACTCAGTTGTGTTACTTAAGTAAAAGTACAGACACTGGAGGAAAGAAATTCTCAAGTAAAAGTAAAAGTATCACAGGAAAAATCTACTTGCGTACCTGTTTAAAAATGTATTGTGCGCAGATTTTGAGGTCTTACAGTATAAAGCTTCTTTTTTTTTTTTTTGTAGCTGTTTTAATTTGTATATTTTGTTTGCTCAAACTATGAACATGTTAAAAAATACTTTTACTTTTCAGTCCTGTTCCAAAATGTAGTTGAGCTGAAAGTACAGATACCTGTTCTCAAATGTAATAAAATATGCTCAAGTAAAGTACAGATGCCAAAAATGTTTACTTAAGTACAGTACTTTACTACTTTTACTTCATTGTGTTCCACAACTGATAACTACTCACAACCACCAGAACAAAGTTATTCTAAAACCTTTATTTGCACTGGTCAAACAAAATGTAATTAGTATTTGGCCTAAATGCTTTAAAGTGATATATAGTTTTGAAAGGTTTTTGTTGTTGTTGTTGTTGTTGTTTTAATCATAAATGCCACTTTCGATGCTGAAAACTTCATTTGGAATTAAAGGTCCTGTATTACGCAAAATTGACTCTTGTGAGCTTTAAGCCATGTTACAATGTTATTACCTCATCAAAAACAGACCTGGAATTGTGTTTTGTTTCATTCACACGTGTGAGTAATCCTTTATTATTAGTCTGTCTACATCTCTGAAGCTCAAAATGCTCTGTTCCACCCTGTGATGTCATGAAGTCGTCGTTTTCAGGTTTACAGCTACATTTGAAGTTTATTTCAGGAGACATCGGCAATTCCAGGACTGAAATGATCCAAATGATTCTAGTGAAGGTGTATGGAGTTTCAAAACACAAGGGTAGTGAGTGTTTTCTGTTTAAGAGAAAAACTCATCCAAAATATGCAGGGTCTGTGTGTGAATGAAACAAAACAAATCCAGGTTCACTACCAGTCAAAAGTTGTAGAACACAACACTTTTTCCAGTTACTGTTTACTGTTGACCAAAATCTATTCTAAACTTTTGATTGATGAAAGTGTCCACCTTTGGCAGATAGAACAGCTGAACACACTCGTGGTTCGTTCTTTTTACAATAGAAATCAAATATTGTTCAGAAAGTTCATCCCAAGTCTGTTGCAGAAGTTCCCATAAACATGTGGCACTTGTAGGTTGCTTCACTGTTCTGTCCAGTTCATCCCAAATCAGCTCGATGGGTTTAAGTCTGGACACTGTGCTGGACACTCCATGTTTTCAAGTTTACCATCTTGTTCTTTTTTCTTGAGGCAGTTTTGGCAGAGTTTGGACTTGTGTTTTGTATCTTTTATCTTTTTTTTTTTAACCTCTGTCTGTTCAGTTCTTACCTTTGTACCATTTCAAGCTCTTCATTGGACTTGCACGACTTGAGCTGCGATAAATACCTGGAAAAATTAGGGTGTTCTAAAACTTTTGACCAGTCATGTATGTTTGTGATGAGGAAACAACATTATAACATTGATCAGAAAATAGCCTAATATGGGCCCTGTTAAAATAAAGCTCAAATCAAAGTATAACAGAGCCTCAGACATAGCAGTGCAGACAGTTAGCATCACCCCCTCAGAGAATGTTGCTGGCATCGATGTATAAATACACTTTTCATGTACTGGTAACTTTATAAACTGATCAAACGTACCTTAACTTCCCTACATTTTCAGATTTTTCAGATTTGCCGTGAACGTGAAGACCTCTGACCCCACTCCAAACCCCGACCGTCAGAACTACACAAGTCCTTCCCCTGAGGTTCCCCAAACCCCTCCGCAGCGATGGAGACTCTGCTGGAAGTGGCCGACTACTGCCACCCGCGCCCCTGCTCCCCCGAGGGCGAAACCGTGTGCGCCGCCCTCACCCGCTACGAAACACCCTGAGAGACGCCATCCGGGAGATCCACGTGGACGTCAGCGCCTTCAAGATCGGCATGGAGCGGCGCTTTGAGGAGACGTCCCAGCTCAGCACGCCCCTCAGCAAGGCCGTGTCCCAGCTCCAGGAAGAGAACCAGCAACTCAAGAACCAGCTGGAGGTCTTGACGCGGCAGGTGGAGCTGCTCATGAGCAAGACGCACGAGCAGAACCTGGATCTGAAACTGAACCGAATCAACAATCACAGCCCGAAGCTCAACGGTATACATGAGGAGAACCATGAAGAAGTTAAAGAGATATTTTACGGGAAAGGTCAAGCTCATATTCAGGCGTCAGACAGCACCCACAAGTCGTCCTCTCCCGTCTCGACGAGCCCGCCCGTGGGGTCCAGGGTGTCCTCCATGGTCACCACTGGTCTTCTGTCCAGCGGCAGTCCGTCCACCACGAGATTCTCCAGCCGGGCCACCTTCGCACTGTCCAGCAGAAATGTGAGTGCACCAATTTTGTTTTTCAGTTGATACTTTGCAGTGACATGCTGGGTTTAAGATGACATCACAACATTCTACAGGCCCATTTAATTTAATACAGATGTGGGCAGCTAAAATTAATATTGTTAAAATGTAGACTTATATTGCAATACAGTAAGGTCTTGGGTCTACTAAATCAGAGAAATGATCAGGATCAACATTTGTGCGTTTGCCTTTTGGATATTTGTGGATACAGATATATATTTCTATGGCAGAATGTTCATTAGTTACCGTGGTGACACAATGCACCATAAACTGTATATATAAATGGGCACACTAGTCACCGCGTTCCAGATAGGAAGTTCGCATGCAGGTATTTCCGGCTCCTTCTGACTCTGGCTCCCATTGACTTAAACCAAAATATTGTGGCCTCTCTCTCTGTAACTGCTGCTGTGAGCCTCGTTATTTTGGTCTTAAAATGTCCGTATTAACCTGCTCTACATGATCCTAGTGGTTTTTTTTTTTTGTTTCGTTCATCAAAAACCCCATTCATAAAGCTTGGCTCTAAATTCGCTTCCGTAACCTCTAGTATGGTGAGCTTCATTTGAGTGAGGCCGATGAGGTTCATTTGGTCTTCCGATAATTTATGTTATTAGGTCCTTTTTTCAGAGGAAGAGTTTGTTTTGCATACCTGACAGTTTGGACTGCTCACTAGCGTTCATCCTCAGAGTGGTTACGTGATGTTGCTGTGACGTGTCCGCTCAGCTGATTTATACAGGTTGTCGGCACTGTCTTCCTACCAGTGGAGGCAGAATGACAGCGCCATCTGCAGTCCAACTTCCTCAGGACAGTGTCCCGTGCGTGTTAGAGTAAAAAAGCCTCGTCGTCCCGGTTTATAGTCTCATGGGCATGTTTCTGTATTTTGATTGCCTCTTTAATCCAGCAGTGGTGTTTGTTTTCCTCTGTCCCAGTGGTGTTTGCTCCGTCCAAGTCCATAATGTGGTTCGTTCTTTTCCAGTGGTCACAAAGGTCCGATTTGAGTTGTTCCTGTTCTGCTTTGTGTTTTGTTGCTCGTGTTTCGCCTTCGCTGTTTCCTTCTCGCATTCTGTCCTATGTTCTTTTTTTCGTGGACTGAACGCCCTCTCTGTTTCCCCGATGTATGTTTTATTTCAGCACATGCAGGGTATTTCATATATGACATTACACATATGCTTCGGTTCTATTTTATGTTTTGGGTGGATGAGTAATTGCCTGAGTTTTCTGTGCTGCTTCATTTGAGTGGCGCCGAACGCTATGGGTGACATCAAACTACCTTAGCCCTCTTTTTTATAGAGTATATGCAATGCACACATTAGCAATAACTACCAAAAAAACACAAAATTTATTTAAACAATACATTTTTAGGAGCCTTTGATCAATAAGAGCATTCATGGTCCTGTTTAAAAAATGAGAAAATGTTACCCTTCTCTCTGTAGCTGCTGCTGTCAGGCTCCTCATTTTGGTCTTGTCCATAAATCAATTTGGCAAAGGAAAAATTCAATTTGTCAACTGAACAAATGTTTATTTAGGCTGAAAAGTTTTCAATCTAAATAAACGTTTGTCCAGTTGACAAATTGAACTTCTTCTTTGTCATGGATTCTACCTGGACGACTGAGGGATTCTACACATATCTTGTAAATCAGTTTATATTCCTAATCCTAGTGGAACTGGCTCCAAATAACTGCCAGCCTCCATGAGCTTCATTTGACTGGAGTTGGACGTTATGGGTGACATCGCACTCCCTCAGTCTGATTCTTCATAAAGCCTGTTGTCATAAGTCTGAATATTTCTTTCAGAAATGGTGAGTCTGAGCCTCTGTATCATCTGATATCATGACATTATCAAATTCTCGAACGTGAACATCATCTCATCATCACCACGCACCAGGGAGTGTCATAGCTGCTGAATTTGAACAAGAAACAGTCGGTAATTACTGGACCATGTGATGTTGTCTAGCCGAGTTCATGCAGAAAAGGGGTCTGGCGCTGAGATGGTTGGCTCTGATTGACTGACTTTCAAAAATCTGTCAACAATGGTGCTTCTGTAACTGAGTGTATGAGAGTGCAGTTACTTAAAGGTGCACTGTGCAACTTTTCTGGCGGAGGGTCCACTGACTGCTTGTCCCCATGGAGATGCTATTGCTTGGCGTGTATGGCCATGGTATGTCTTCAAACATTTCCATCTAGTGTTTATTCATTACTGGGGTTTCAATTGCTCAAAAATACAGCAGTTTATGTGAATATTAATGACTGTCAGCAGATCTGAATTGTAATGGAGTGTAGTGCTGTAACCTGCTCCTCTTCCTTCCTATTCTGTGGAACATTCTAGACCAGGGGTTTTCAAATTGGGTTAACGTGAGCCTCTCCTTAGAGTAGACCTTGTTTAGACCTGTTTTAGTCCTGGTTTAGTCCTGGTTTAGACCTGGTTTTAGTTCTGATGTTAGTCCTGGTTTAGTACTGTTTTAGTCCTGTTTTAGTCCTGATTTTAGTCCTGAGTTTAGTCCAGGTTTAGTCCTGGTTTAGACCTGGTTTAGTCCTGATTTTAGTCCTGATTTTAGTCCTGGTTTAGTCCTGGTTTAGTCCTGGTTTAGACTTGGTTGTAGTCCTGATTTTAGTCCTGGATTAGTCCTGGTTTTAGTTCTGGTTTAGAGGCATGTCCCATGCAGCGTATACAAGTCAAAAAAGGTGGCGCTTCAAACTATGAGTAGGTTGTCAGAATGGCGACATAAAAGGTGTTGGAATGACGGCATCAAATCATTACACTTCCTCTCAGAAAACTTAACTTGCTGGTCACTAAATTTGCGTGCTTTGTCTCAATGTGATACCAAAGTTTGCAGGTCTCACGCTGTCATTCACATTCTTTGCGTGTGTGTTGCACCTCCCTAGTGGCTTTCCATGGAGATAAGCAGGTGGCAGACCCTCAGTTACAAAGTGCACCTTTAACAGATGCATATGCAAATAATTAAAGCCCCATATTCATACCGTCTAAGAATTAAATGTAATAAATGAGTTCTTCAGCTATTTTCCATTTGCTAATAGTTCCATAAAACACATTACATACATACATACTTTTACAATTGAGTAAACCTCACCTGCTACAATTACTTTTGTTGTTTTGCTACAGCTTTAAGTGTATTTTTACTTTATCATACTGTATATTTTGGACGTATTTGTAAGTGTCTATGATATTTTTACACATTGCAGTACCATCTGTCATGGAACAAGTCTAAACCAGATTTATGAGTAACTAAGTGTCATGTAAATGATGAATAAAACAGGTGTTAGAACTTATTATGCAGATGTGACTTTTGAGCTTTCTATCATGTTATAACGCCGTTCCTGCATCAAGAGTTCAAAAAGTTCAAAAGTTCAAAAAAAGTTAGTCAGTTCTTCATACAAAAAACATAAAGAATAAATTAGTGTAGTGAATACAGTGTTTCCTCGTTTATCATGAGGGTTACGTTCTAAAAATAACTGCAATAGGCGAAATCTGCGAAGTAGTCAGCTTTATGATTCTATCTGTTTTAAGGCTGTAAAACCCCTCACTACACACTTTATACACCACAGGTCTCCAACCTTTTTCCTCTGGTAAGCTACCTTTATGAAACGAAAATGCCAGAGAGCTACTAATTTTAAAGAAATTTAGAAAGTCGAAGAGCTATGACAAGCTTTAGACAGGGTACAGTTAGATGCCTATTAAAAATAAACAATTATCCATGTATTACTGTACAAGTTAGGAGTCAAAATGACACGTTTACAAAAGTAATTAATCAGATTTCAGTTATTAAACGCAATACATATAATTCAGAAATCCCTTGACGAGCTACTTGAACGGGGGTGGAGAGCTACAGGTTGGAATATACACTTTTCTCAGACAGGACAGTTACAACCCTTTTTGCAGTCGTCCTTATGTTATTTTCCTCCTTCTTTATGTAACGAACCAAAGATTAATTTATTCCTTAATGGCGCCCTACAGCTGCGTAACTTCTACCTTCCTTCAGCGTGTCCAGATGTCCAACTTTTTATGCGATGGTTACATCTTCCTCTTCCTTTTGGGTGCAACCACAGGAGCCTTTGTTCGGTGCAGAACGTTTCGTCAACATTGTGGGTTTTGTTGGGGAGAAAACTTGCAAACATCCTACACTTCAGAATCACACTGGTAGAGATCCAACATTTATGTAAATTTGACAAATTGAACACATTATGTACTGAACAGGAGACACGGCACAGAGGAGATTGATTGACAATGGTCTACAGTCTCTTAGCCAATCAGGATGCAGGGGGAGGAACACAACGCCTGATCATACGATGTAAAAAAAATAATAAAAAATTGCACACAAAAAATCCGCGAAACAGCGAGGCCGCGAAAGGTGAACTGTGTTATGGTCAGGGACGACGTGCAAAAGTGCACTAAATGTCATCCATGCATGTTTGAGTAATCTAGTGATCTCTTGTACATCCCATTCAAACCCATGCTCCCACATGACAATTCTCCATAAATATGCAAAAAACATTGTGCAAAACTGTTCACAACAACGTCACAAACCCAAAACAATGTGCAGTAGTTTCATTAGTGGGATGTACGACGACTGTGTTACTGCTTTGAAGGGGGTGTGATTTAGCACGGAGAGCAAAGGGAGGGGAGACTCAGAACGTCAAATACGAAACTAAAAACATGTTAATATGTTGTTTTCTCCATGGAGAGAAAAAGAAAAGCAGAAACAATGCACCTTTAAGTAATAAATTTTGGATGTTACCATATATTTGCGCATTGACCTTTCCTCTGGTTAATTTGTGGTTTATTGGTTTTGCCTTGAGATGGATGAGCTGAGTTATTGCGCACGAATATAAAAACAAGTTTCTCTACCACATTAAAATGATTGAAGGGCTGGGGGATGGGGAATGGGGAGAAGCAGAGGGGGGCTATGACCTAAGCAGGCAGTAAAATGACGTGTTTTAGCCCTGTGTAACTGGAGCTCTATC